ACTTCATCTTTCACTGACCCATCTTCCAGCATGTCCACTCCTAAATATCTAAATACATTTACTTCCTGCATTCTCCCTCCCTCTAATCTGATATTCAGTCTTTCATCGCCTAGATTTTTTTTGCTACTCTCATCACCTTGCATTTTTCTGTGTTTACTTTTAACTTCCTTCTTCTACACAGTTTTCCACAACTTCACTTCAGAACCTCCCATAAGAACTGTGACATCTGCTTCCTATCAAAGTCATTAACTTTTAATCCCATACCTATCTGCAACCCCTTCTATAATTATATTGAACATCCATAGTTATATTATATATCCCTGTCAAAAGTCTATTTTTATATGAAAATAGTCACCTTCTCTCCTACATACTACTTTTCGTAACCTACTACCTGTCTTTAATATTTAATCACTAAAACAAACACACACACACACACAGGACTAGGAGCTGTGACTCGATCCCTGCAACCACAAATAGGTAAGAGTGAACACACACACGCACGCATGCACGTGCACACACACACACACACACACACACACACACACACACACACACACACACACACACACACACACACACACACACACACACACTACACACAACACACACACACACACACACACACACAACACACACACACACACACACAACACAAGCCAGTAAATAGGTCAAATGTCTTTAACAGCAGTAACCATGTTAAAAAAAAAAAAAAAACAGAAAATCTACTTCATAATATTATGTACAACAATTTAACATACATGTACTTCGCAATGTTTTAAAACAATACTTGACAATCATGGAAGGGGTGATGTAACAATCCATCAGACTTTACCACTTAGTTTCACAGTCTAGATACATATGAATAAATAAATAATGGCAATGATATAACATTTTAGATGGTAAACATAAATCTGCCATTTATAAGTGCACTTGGATTACCAATCCGAATGCAGATTACAATAATTCTCTCCACATACGTAAATTTCTTGCTGTGTCTCCTCTGAAGCACCAGCTCAACACACTAGACCAACCCTTAGACTTTGATACATAATATGTCACTTGTATACACAGAAAGTGAGCAATTAGTATTCCTCCGTCCCGAGACAGAATAACACTGTTACATTCTGGACTACACTAACTGAACTATGTAATTTGATCATGCAGTATTTTTGTATTATTTCAATCTTGAAAAAATCAATACATGTATAGGGAAATGACCCTACTTGGAGGGAGGGCTGCAGGGCCACCAGTGAAGGGCTCTTGATGGAAGGAGTTAGAGCTACCCTTATTTTCCTTAAATCAAACCTTTATTTCCTCTCATTACCAAGGTTCTGCATGACCAACAAAAGGATAGTAAATTACATAAATATAATTATTACAATAATGTGCAGTAGCAATAGTAATTCGTTGTGATTTTTTGAAGTGCAGACATGCACGCACGCACACTCTCTCACACTCACTCTTACTCAGATGTTCAAATTTTCAGTCACATAGGAAATTAAAAAAGTTAGCACCATATAGTACAGTAGTGCACCACCAGGCTCTTTTTGATGGTGTGTAGTTCCTTATCTTTTGCACTGTAAAAGGTTTTCTTATCAGTTTTCAAGTTTTCTTTTTAAATAATTTTGGGTACCTAAAACTAAAGGGTGTATCATATATTTTTGTTTCATCATCTAAGAACTCTGGGGAGTACACAGTATAAACAAAGTTCTCAAGATCATGGAATAGAACTCTAAATGTTACATTCATCATCGTGAATAATAGTGTACACAAAAACAAACATTTTGAATTGGAAATAATGATTCTTTGTAACATTTATATGTATGACTGTGTTAAGTGGAGATATTTTCTTGAATTTCAACATTAAATTTTATTACCTAAGTTAAACTAATTAAACCAAGAAGAAATTTATTTACATCATTCTTCTTGGGCCACACACAGGATGTTAATCACAAACAAAATAATGAATAAATAACCAAGATTGGGAAAGAGAATGCCCCATTGCTAAACCATACTCTTAAGCCTAGAACTCCCCATTAAATTTTAAGTGCTTAGATATGACAAGGTTTATTTGATGTTGGTGGACAAAGGCGTCAATAATAATAGTTAATAAGTCATCAAGTGGGATCTCATAGTTACTACATGTACAGTGTATTATTATAATCTGGGGAGTGTCAAGCCCACCAGGGTCATATTGCACCTTGAGAATAGGGCAAAATCAGGTTTGATTTGAGGAAGGAGGGTAGCTCCAATTTCTTGAAGCAAGAACCTTTCACAATCATGAAGGTACACCTCAGTGATATGACATTGAAGACAGCCATACTGACCTTGCTCATAAAAGTTTTAACATATTAAATAAATCTTATGTCTTGTACTGTAATTAGACATGCTTGTGAGATTAATATGTCTGATAGCCACTGAACTTCGATAACTTGGGTGTAACATAGCCAATGGAACTAATAATATAAATTTTATTGGTTTTATTAAACAATACATCTAATGTAATAATAGGAATCGTTCATGGTTTTTCAATTAATTCAACCTTGCCCTTCAGTAACTGTTTTATTACAATCATAAAGATAATATAATAGTATCTTTATTTCTACAAGTACATGTACAAGGTATACAAGCCTAGCTGACATCAATGATACACTACTATATAGAAAGCTGCTTGTTATGCAGAGCCTTTCAGGCAAATTAGGTCAGTTTTGTCCCAGGATGCAACCCATACCAGTCGACTAACACCCTGGTACTCACTTTTTACTGATGGGTGAACATAGACAACCGGGAGCTGTTCTTAATTTTAGCGTTTATAGCTCACAAGATATTACTACAGGTCGACCATCACTAATCCAGCAATCAGTTATCCAGTACCATCAGTAATCTGGCACTAATTTTGGCTAGCATAATATCAAATTTCATTTACTGACTCAAATCATTATACTGACTCAAATTTCATCATTATACTTAATCAGAAATTGTGCAGATGGTTGTAAATCCACAGCAGCAAGCCAGTGGAGGAGAAAAAAGTAATGAAAATGAGGAAGATGTAGCAGAAAGCCTCTATTGATAAGTTAATTAAGCGTACTCTAACCTAACCACTCTAATCCGGCAAACTCACTAATCCGGCACACTACAGGTCCCAATGATGCCGGATTAGTGATGGCCGACCTGTACTTGTAATAATATTTAATTAGAATTGCTACTGTATTTGATTTATCTCTCATGGTAATGTGCAAATCTTTTATTACTCAAGATTCTTGTAATATTTTTAAAAAATTCTAGGTGCACTTATACGTAATTAAAAGTAGGCTGTTCAAACATACCTTGCATAGAGATAGATGCTGTATACAGATTTCACATGAATTAACACTGTACTGTGCACAAGTTTTATTTTTTGCCCCAGACTAACCTAGCAATCAGGCCTAATTTTTTTTGTAACTACTGTATTTACATAGCATAATACTGCACAGCCTAATCTTTCTCAATCTATTTCAGGTCAGCCCAAATTTGGTTAGTATTACTTAACAATGAAATATATTAACTTTGTGGTAAGTCAGTGACAGGTTATAGCAAAAAATTAATAAATATTTTTTTCTTATACTAGGGCTTTTTTTATATATAAATTATGATTGTGCATAATATTTTGAAAATAATAGAATCTGAATTTTATTTCTGAAAGATATATGCAGTACATTACTGTACATAATTTTTCTATGTTGGAAGTAAAACGGTTTAAAGAAAAAAAAAATTGCCTGATAAGTATCATGTGTAACTGTTACCCTTGAAGCAGGTAAAAATAAGATTTTATGAAAAGGAAAATAATTCTGTATATAGGTCTCCCTCAACATTCACGTTTTCAACTTTCACGGGCTTCACACATTCACGAATTCCCAACCGCCAAATTCCCAGCCACCAAATTCCCAGTTGCCAAATCATATTTAAGTTTCCCGCCACCTGCGAGTCCCTACTACCCTCCCTCCGACCCCCACAACTGGCAGCCAGCCCTCCCACCACTCAGTGTGGTGAGTGTTTTGTTTGTTCATTATTTGCTATTAAACTACAGAATAAATAATGTAAACCCATTCATGACTGCATATTGGAATGGCTATTCAGACAGGTATTAGATGGTGACATCATGTGTTTACTCTTGAACACTGCAAAGAATTAAACATTTCTGCTACAGCTAATAATAACAATAGTAATAATAATAATAATAATAATAATAATAATAATAATAATAATAATAATAATAAATAAATAATAATAATAATAATAAATATGATATAATTGAAGAAGGAAATTGTACAAAAATACGAGGGAGTGGTTGACACATAGTCAGTGTGACTTTGTTTATGCTGGAGTGAACATTAGTCTCCCTGCTCTTCCAAACATTTCACAATAATTCATTGTGTTTGGTGCTTGTAGACTGAGTGTGACTGGAGTGGTAGAGGCAGTGATTGAGGCAATGGTATTTAATAACATGCATGTTAATAATAATACATGTTGTTAATAATATGTACTATTATTATTTATAACATATATATTATTAAATACATACATGTTAATAATAATACATGTTATTAATAATAACATGTACTATTATTATTTATAACATATATGTTATTAAATACCACTGCCTCAACGCTGAATTATTGTGAAATGTTTGGAAGAGCAGGGAGACTAATGTTCACTCCAGCATAAACAAAGTCACACTGATGATGTGTCAACCACTCTCTCGTATTTTTGTACAATTTCCTTCTTCAATTATATCGTATTTATTATTATTATTATTATTATAACTATTGTTATTATTAGCAATAGCAGAAATGTTCGATTCTTTGCTGTGTTCAAGAGTAAACACATGATGTCACTGTCTAATACCTTTCCTAATAGCCATTCCAATATGCAGTCATGAATGGGTTTACATTATTTATTCTGTAGTTTAATAGCAAATAATGAACAAACAAAACACTCACCACACTGAGTGGTGGGAGGGCTGGCTGCCAGTTGTGGGGGTCGGAGGGAGGGTGGTAGGGACTCGCAGTGGTGGAGGCATTGGTGGAGTCTGTGGTATTTAATAACATACATGTTATTAAATAATATACGTTATTAAAGCATAACATGTATATATTTAGTACAATTTATGACGTTTTCATGTATTTTATGATTATTCATGGTTCAACAAGTTAAGCAAGCAGTATTGTAATATATTTCTCTACAATATATTGGGGCACCAAACATTCACGGTTTTTCAACATTCGCTAGGCTCTTGATCCCCTAACCCTCACGAATGTTGAGGGAGACCTGTATTTGGATTGTTAATATATTCATGGGAGTGCCAAACAGCACTTGTGGAATGGGGGGTAATTATGTTAGATCCAAGGAAGTGGAAGATAGCTCTAATTTCATGGATCAAGCAGCTTTTACCGACATAGAGCCACCTCTTTTGCAGGACTGGCTGTCTCCCACTGAGGTAGGGTGACCCCAAAAATGAAACGTTTTCACCATCATTCACTCTCTCACTGTCTTGCCAGAGGGGCATAGATATGACAATTCAGATGCCTTTCCAAAACAGCAAATATCCCCACTCCTCCTTTATAGTGCAGGCACTGTAATTCCCACCTGCAGTACTCAAGTCTGGCTAACCAGTTTCACCTGAATCCCTTCAGAAAATGTTACCTTGCTCACACCCCAATAGCTTGTCAGGTCCCAAAAACCATTTGCCATTTGCCTCCACTCACTCCAGTCTATATATTATATATTCGTTTTCTTGGTTTCATTTGATAGACTGGAAGACATATTACAGAAATAGAGATGATTTTGATTGGTTTCACAATGAAAAGGACCTTGAAATTGAGCAGCGGAAATGTTTGATTTGTGCCGATGTTCAAGAGTAAACAAATAATGTCATTGTCCAATAAGTGTCCACTAGCCATTCTAATATGCAGTCACGAATGGGATGACATTATTTATACAGTTACAGTGGAACCTCAAAAATTGAACTGCTCCCAACACAACCAATTTTGTAAGTGTATTTTTGAGGGTCTGAAATGGACTAATCTAATTTACATTATTCCTGATGGGAATAAATTCATTTGGTAAAGGCACTCGAACAGCCTTCTGGACCGAAGAAAGTTCGATATTTGAGGTTCTACTGGATTACAATAATGCAGTAGTCTGCATAACAGTAAATCTTCTATTTTTTGTGTGAATAAAAATTCAAAATAGAAAGCAAGAGTAATATAAGAGGGGCTTGGAGACGTGACTGATGAACAGAGAAAATGTTATTTTAGTGCCAGGAATGTCTGCATTGTTCATTCTGGATCCTTTCTTGAAACTGGCTTCTTTTTTAATTTGCGTGAAATTGGCAAAATTGACAATTTCTGACCATTTTATTGGGTAGTTGAAATTGGTAAATGAGCAGTTTCTTGTACTCAATCGACAGAACAGATGGAGTTCTAATGAAATAGCTATGAGTTTGGTTGACTGGAACAATGGAATTGGCCAAAAATAGGGCTCAAAGTGGGCAAAATTGCTGATGCGTAAATATTGCCGAAATCGCTAACTTTGCGAGAGCATAATTCCATAAGTTTTCAATCAAATTTCATACTTTTGGTGTCATTACCATCGGGAAAAGATTCTCTGTCATTTCATAAGAAAAAATATTTTTTTTTTTAAATTCTTCGACATTGAGGGCAAGTTTGTGAGCAGGGGTCTCGAGAGTCAAAGGGTTAAATCTAATGGAAGTACTGTGTCAAGTTTTTCAATAGATGTCACACATTTTTTTAATGCATTATTTCATCAAACATTATTCATCTGAAATTACACTAGAACTCAATTTCACAAGTTTACTTTCATTCATCTAATTGGTAATTATCAGAGTTCTGTGATTAGTTTCTGCACCACAGTATTCCAGTAGTCCTTGGAATCCACTACACACTGATGGAGCTGGCAAGAGTGGGTGTAATCTGCTACACACTGATGGAATTGGGAACAATTTCAGGGTCCAGCCATTCAAACTTCCAATCACGGTCAATGTTCCGTTTCTTCATATCTAAACTCAGCCGCTTCAAGTCCTTCTGGAATCTAAAATTATAAAATATTAAAAACATTAAACTATGCAGACACATTTACTTTTACTATGGTACATAACTTATATGTAACATGCTGTAATACATTTACCATGATCTTCAATTTCTTCATACACTACAGAAACTGTATAGGTGGAGATAAAGAGACTAATGGCAGTGAAGTACTTCACTAGTGCTACGAAAGCACACTTACACACCAGGAGCTGAGTCTCGACCCTTGCAACCACAATTAGGTGAGTACACACATGCAAGCACACTCATTCATGCACACATGCAAGCACACTCATACATACACACATGCGCAAGCACACACACACACATGCACACAGACACTCAGAAGTAAGTTTTTAAATACATGTTCATGTACTATTTAAAAGCCCACTAGTGCATTAACCCGTAAATGGTCCAAACGTGGGAGCACCAGTTCAACTGAGTGCCAGCTAGAGCAAAGAGCACAGCAAACACCTGGAATTCACTGATGTCATGTAGTATTAACACTCCCATTTTAAGAGGAAAGTGATGTTGATCCCGAGTTCAGTGGCTTTGAGGTGGATGTGGCCATAAGGCAGGCAGGCAGGCAGGCAGGCTGGCTGGCTGGCTGGCTGGCTGGCTGGCTGGCCGGCTGGCCGGCTGGCCGGCTGGCCGGCTGGCCGGCTGGCCGGCTGGCCGGCTGGCCAACTGGCTCTACCTCCATCTGTTCGGCTGTATCTATGTCTATCTGTCTCTGTCTATCCCTGTCTACCTCTGTTTCACAGGGACACATAAATACAATTATACATAGTGTAAATTACCTAGGATAACCCAAAAAATCCAGACAAAGTTCTATACTGTGCTTGTAGATATAATGCGTATGCATGACTGGCAAATACGTATTTACACTTGCTGAGGAACCGGACGTGACGATGCAGTCGTGTGTAATACCTGTTGATCCACGAGTGGCTCTCTCTGAGACAGACAGAAAGACAAGCAGACAGAAATAGAGACAGATAATTAGAAACAGAGAGCTAGACAAACAGATAAACGGAGAGCTAGATGGACAGATGGAGAGCTACACAGACACAGACAGAAAGCTTGAAACACAGACAGATAGAAAGATAGAGAGAGACAGACATGTTTATATGTAACAGTGAAAATAAATAAAGCCAGGGCTGTTGATGCTCATCAAATGTCACCACTGCACTAACAGCAGTGGACTAACACTTGTCTTACATCATGCTTCAAGGGAACTTAGTATTATTATTATATACCCCTACATATCCAAAACATTGCTAAGACCTATAAATACTTTGTATATATTCCTAGACAATAGTAAATGACCAAGGCAGGTGTAAATGTTCACCTGTCAGTTTGTTTTTGACAATCTGAGTACAATTTCAGTACTGTACCTAATATTAGTGTCAGAACAAAGATTGGCTATGAAATCAAAAGAACTACTATAAATTGCAATTATCAGAACATAAAAATGATATAAAATAATATAAAAACAAGAAAAAAAGGTGTATCGGCAACACTTCTGTAAGCGGCAAGACTCGATGTTGCTGTCAGGTGAGCATCTAGTGCCAACTTCACGGCCTCATATCTCGGTAAGTACTGACCCCAAAAAAAACTTTTTATCTTATAACATTTAGAAAAATGCACTCTTTATTTCTTTTAAAAAAATTATTTTTTTTTTCAAAATATTCAGAGCAATGGCGAGAGAACATATATATGCGTTTGGACCATTTACAGGTTAAAGGTTCTTTCAGTAAGGACTTTCACTATCATTATTGTCTTTACTGCCACCTGTCAATGTTATGCCTCCATTCATTACTGTATATTTTATTTATATGAATATGCACAGTATGTATGTGTTAAAAAAAAAAAAAAGAGCTAGAGTGCCTACAACTGTCAATACATGCAGACAACTGATTATCAGGGAAGTTCTGGGTTAAGGGGAGACTGAACTGAGAATTACTTTCAGATAAGGAATAATTAAATAGTATAATGAATTAGATTAAATTTTCCTCCTGTTTTTGCCACTAAATCAAAGCATCTATGTGATCAGATTGACACCCAAACATAAAACAAGAAATAAGCCATGAAACAGATTCTGAAAGCTGCCCTTTATATGGTGACCCTAAATCCAGAAGTATGCCATGAAGTTTACATTTCTTCCCTGAAGCTAGTTACTAGTGTTGCTTGCAGGAACATGGATGACAATTTGGTAAGCAAATGACTTTTATCTCCATGGGAAAGTGGAACAGACTTCTTCCTCTGTAAGCCATGCGTGTTACAAGAGGTGACTAAAATGCCAAGAGCAATGGGCTAGTAACCCCTTCTCCTGTATACATTACTAAAGTTAAAAAAAGAAAATTTTGCTTTTCTTTTTGAGTCACCTGCCTCGGTGGGATACGGCCGGTTTGCTGAAAGAAGTAGAAATGACTTTTATTTATTATTTGTCACTATTATTCTTTATTTCTAGGTAGTAGGTTGGTACTGGTCACATACCGGGCTGCGGGGGCATTGACCCCCGGAACTCTCTCCAGGTAAACAGCAACTGCCCAAGGAGATACTACCATCCTGCCAAGTGAGTGTAAAACAGAAGCCTGTAATTGTTTTACATGATGGTAGGATTGCTGGTGTCTTTTTTCTGTCTCATAAACATGCAAGATTTCAGGTACATCTTGCTACTTCTGCTTACACTTAGGTCACACTATACATACATCTATAAGCATAAGTATACACACCCCTCTGGGTTTTCTTCTGTTTCCTTACTAGTTCTTGTTCTTATTTCCTCTTATCTCCATGGGGAAGTGTAACAGAATTCTTCCTCCATAAGCCATGCATGTCATAAGAGGCGACTAAAATGCCAGGAACAAGGGGCTAGTAACCCCTTCTCTTGTATACATTACTAAATTTAAAAAGAGAAACTTTCATTTTTCTTTTAGGGCCCACTGCCTTGGTGGGATATGACTGGTTTGTTGAAAAAAAGAAAATTATTCTTTATCCACATTCAGTTGTAAATGCAGCAGAGCCTGGGCTAGGTGGCACCCTAGTGAGTGAAGCTCTCATACTTACTCTTCTGCTGCTTGTACTCCCACTGGGTCATACAGATACTGCATTTCAAAGTCTCCCAGGCTGTTCGTGCCTCTGCTGGAGAGTAACTTTGTGATGACCATAATATCTAAGGTCATCCTCTTGTTTGGCAGCAAATTCATAATTTCTTGCTCTGTGTAGTTTACCTGAAAAATATTTAAAATGTAAATTTTCAATTATTGTTTAGCATGGTCTCTAATTTCTTCATTTTACATTCCATGATGAAATTACTATTCAGTTCTGTTTACTTTTTTTATCTCTAGAATTTAGCTATATTTATCTGTGGGCACTAAGGAAAGCTGGACCAAACTTATTTTCATGGCTAATCATTCCTAAATTCTAACACAGAAACACAGTCCTTAAAAAAAAGCTAAATAAATGAATACATTATATACAAATATATAATTAATTCTGGGGGGATAATATACAATGTGTGATTTACATTTTATAAATATTGTTAAGTACAAAGATAGCCACTAACATGCTCGAGCATTTCAGGCAGACTAATATTAAGGCTTACAGACTACTTAAAACAAGACATAGGTTATGGAGTGATGAATTTTAATTATTCATTATTTTACATTATTACAATAGTTCAGCATGTTCAGTTAAAGTTCCAGCCTGACAGTGTATAGACCAAGATTATGATGGACTTCTTCCACATGAGCTCTGGTTACCTCATTACTTGTTGTTGGCTAATGCAAAGAGACCCCACACAAAATGGATACCCAAAATATTACAGCTACATCATCTGCCTTTCTTCTGCTCCTTCAATACAAATAATCGAGGAATATTCTTGACCGACGAGATAATTCTGAGTGCCCTGTTTTAATGTACTCAGTGTCTTATTTTGTGGAGGGGCAGGACCATGCTTGGTAGGAGTGACTCCTTTTCCCAACACCCCTTGACAACTGTAAGGCCAGGGATTGATGAACCTACGTACACTACACCTGCTCTGAGTCAGTGGATTTAATGTACTCATAAACTATTTTTTGACACAACTTTAGTGATGAAGCAGGTAAGGATCAGTGAATTAAAAATGTTGTGTTAAACTGTTGCAATTGTTTACATGATTTATCAAAGTTTTTTGCTCAAAGCTGGTGTTAAGAGCACCATGGTGGTAGAGAATCTGGAGCAAAGGCAAGGAGACTGGTGTTTATATAGGCGTCAGCGGATAGGGACATATAGCAGATGAGGGCATAGTCACTGGTAGGTGGGATTCCCCAGATTCCACTGATGCCTATATAAACACCAGTCTCCTTGCCTTTGCTCCAGAATCTCTACCACCACAGTGCTCTCAACACCAACTCCAAGGCTGAGGGACTGATTACCTCATCTTTTCTATATAGCTCTACTGACTTCTAATTACGTCCTAGAATCTGTACTGATAAAGCCACTCGATGGCGAAACGTCTACAAAAAAGACTGGTATAAACCTTGGTAATAAATACCAACAAGGCGGTTTAGAAAGACACGTAAGCAAACATTGTGACATGTTTATTAGAAAACATTTCGGTCCTGGGATCTTGATCACTTCTAACATACAGAGGTAGAAGGACATTATATATAGGCAGAGAGGGAGGTGTGAGTTATGCATGGTGACCTGAAGAATGCCGTGTTGGGATGAGGACGGGTAGACGATGAGATCATGTGACTCCTGTGTTGTTGGGTTGGTGGTGCTTAGCCTGCTTAAGTGTCATGTATGCTAATGTTTTTGAAATTTTAAGGTTTCCAGTGTTACGTTCTATTGTGTCAGTGACGGCAATTAGTGAGGCTTCTAGGCACCTTCGGCGTCTGAGGTCTAGTTCGGTGAGAACGAGTTGTCCCTCATTCCAGTTCATCAAATGCTCCGTGGAGTCTCTGTGGAAGACACAGGCGTACCTTAAATCGTCTCTGTTACAGGCACTTTGATGCTCATTCAGGCAGACCACAAGATCTCTGCCTGTCTCGCCTACATATTTCTCGGGACAGAATCCACAGCGAATGGTGTAGACACCTGCTGTAGAAGTTAGAAGTGTGGGGCTGCGTTTCGTAGTGAGGTCTTTGATAGGTGATGTGTTTATGGTGGAAACGTTGATGCTACTCATAGCAAGTACCCGGCAAGTATTCGTGGCAACATCACCACATGAGAGCACTATGAACTGCTTAGAGGGCTGTTCCATGGGCAGTTTGTGAGAATAGTTTGTGCCGTGACTCTGCAATCTCGGATGAAGAAAGATGGAAACTGAAGACGTGTAAAAGCTTGTGTTATGTAAATACATTCTTCTTCAAGAAAACAAGGGCTGGAGATGCAAAGAGCTCTCAATAAGAAGCCAATGAGGACTCCTCTTTTATTGCAGGTGTCTTGGTGTGAATAAAAATGTATAAGATAGAACTTAACACTAGAAACCACAAAATTTCAAAAACATTAGCATACATGATACTTAAGCAGGCTAAGCACCACCAACCCAACAACATAAGAGTCACATGATCTCATCATCTACCTGTCCTCATCCCAACATGGCATTCTTCAGGTCACCATGTGCCACTCACACCTCATTCTCCACCTATATATAATGTCTTTCTACCTCTGTATGTTAGAAGTGATCTAGGTCCCAGGACTGAAACGTTTTCTAATAAATATGTCATAGTGTTTGCTTATGTGTCTTCCTCAACCAACTTGTCGATATTTATTACCGAGGTTTATACCATCCTGTCTGACACTGCAACACACTATGGACATAGAATACAGAGAATACCTTTCTCTCCTACTCAAAGCTAATAGTCTTCGTAACCGACACAACTTCCTAGAAGATTGCCATGCTGAGATGGTGGTACCACGGTCCACTCCTTGACAACTCACCACATCTAGACACCCTTTCTCTCCTGCCTTTTATACCTACCTTAGAGAAAGCTCCAATGAACTGCGACATGCTCAGAAGGAGGCCTCATTACATGCCGCCCAGATTCGTGCTTCACTTCCTACTCCTGACAGAAGAACGGCAAAATATATACTCAGCCGAACTACCACTGCCAGCATCCAACAGAAATTGAAGCTATCACAAAAACTACAAGACATGTGCTCCCACAGCAAATGGAGTGAAATGGGACGACCAAAAATCATAAATAACTTATCTTCCTATACACTAACCATCACCGAGACAGAAGCCCTCAGCCTAGGGCTCAAGTTCACTACTGGCATCAACAAGAAACATCATCTGGTGGATATGGTAACCAAGAACCAACCTTTTGGAGACTCCGAGTTTCAAAAAGGCTTTATTCAAGGAATTATCACTGCTACAGATACTGGGCCTTCAAGACCAGTCATTCCTAGAAGATACATCCAAGCACTCAGGGACTTGGCTAACAATGATGATATTGTCATTACAACCGCTGACAAAGGAGGAGGTGTGGTGTTACTCAACACTGTAGACTACAACAACAAAGTTTTAAATCTATTCAACGATGCCAACACATACCAGCCTGTATCAGAATCAGTGCTACTTCAAAGTACCCAGACTTTTCTTCAAAAGGCTTGTAGCATCTTACGAAAATCAGAACAAGGCAAAAAACTGCTTAAACTTTTACCAGGTCAACCGAAACCAGCATGCATGTATGGCCTTCCTGAGACACACATGCCTGGCATCCCACTACATCCTATCACTTCGGGCATAGAGAGTGCACCACACAGACTAGCCGGCCACCTTGCCAAATACCTTTCAGCGCTTCTGGGCACCATCAGTCAAGCCCACCTCAAACACTCAGGTGACCTTCTCTCCCGAATTTCCAACCTGAATGTTAAAAACAAAAGCATGGCTTCCTTCGATGTCACAGCCCTCTTTACCAATATTCCTACTGATGCTGCAATAAACATTCTGAGACAGAGGCTCACTGAAAACCATGACCTCCCTTTACCTCTTCTAGATTTTATCAGTCTAGTGGAACTTTGTGTTAATTTCAACTTCTTCAAGTATCAGGACAACTGTTACAAACAGTGCTTTGGGATGGCAATGGGCAGCCCGCTCAGTGCTGTGCTTGCCAACCTCTTCATGGAAAACCTAGAGACAGAGAAATTCAGCACCCTCATTCCCAACACCGTTACCTGGCTAAGATACATTGATGATATATTGGTTTTCTATCCGATACGTCTCAATATCCAGGCCCTTCTCGACAAGATCAATGCAGCTGAACCATCAATTAAGTTTACACGTGAACTTGAAAACGATGGCAAACTTTCTTTCCTTGATGTTCTCCTGTGCAGATCTCCCGACAGTGACAAACTTCTCTTCAAAGTGTATAGAAAACCTACCAACAAGGACGATCTTATACAGTTTTATTCACACCAAGACACCCGCACTAAGAAAGGAGTTCTCATTGGCTTCTTCTTGAGAGCTCTTCGCATCTCCAGCCCTTGTTTTCTTGAAGAAGAATGTATTTACATAACACAAACCTTTACACATCTTCAGTTTCCATCTTTCTTCATCTGAGATTGCAGACTCAAGGCACAAGCTATCCTCAACAAACTGCCCATGGAACAGCCCTCTAAGCAGTTCATAGTGCTCCCATGTGGTGATGTTGCCACGAATACTCGCCGAGCACTTGCTATGAGTAACATCAACGTTTCCACCATAAACACATCATCTATCAAAGATCTCACTACAAAATGCAGCCCCACACCTCTAACTTCTACAGCAGGCATCTACACCATCCCCTGTGGATTCTGTCCCAAGAAATATGTAGGCGAGACAGGCAGAGATCTTGCAGTCCGCCTGAATGAACATCGAAGTGCCTGTAACAGAGATGATTTAAGGTACGCCTGTGTCTTCCATAGAGACTCCACGGGGCATTTGATGAACTGGAATGAGGCACAACTCGTTCTCACCAAACCAGACCTCAGACGCCGATGGTGCCTAGAAACCTCACTAATCACCGTCACCGACACAACAGAATGTAACACTGGAAACCACAAAATTTCAAAAACATAGCATACATGATACTAAAGCAGGCTAAGCACCACCAACCCAACAACACAGGAGTCACATGATCTCATCTTCTACCCGTCCTCATCCCAACATGGCATTCTTCAGGTCACCATGCGCCACTCACACCTCACTCTCCACCTATATATAATGTCTTTCTACCTCTGTATGTTAAAAGTGATCAAGGTCCCAGGATCGAAACGTTTTCTAATAAATATGTCATAGTGTTTGCTTACGTGTCTTTCTAAACCAACAATAACGATTACCAGATGTTGCACGTGTCTTAACTTTCATCTTGTCGGTATTTTATACCTTTCTTGCACAACTTGTCAGACACTGCAACATCATGGAATCTTGGTTCAGAGGACATCTACAAGACCTTCATAGTTACTACAACTAACCCATGCCTTTGAGTAGGACCTACTTCCACTGGGGAATCCTGCCTACCAGTGACTATGCCCTCATCTGCTATACATCCCTATCGACTGATGCCTATATAAACACCAGTCTCCTTGCCTTTGCCCCAGAATCTCTACCACCACAGTGCTCTCAACACCAATTCCAAGGCTGAGGAACTGATTACCTCATCTTTTCTATATAGTTCTACTGTCTTCTAATTATGTCCTAGAATCTGTATTGATAAAGCCACTGGATGGCAAAACATCTCCAATAAAGATTACCAGATGTTGCACATTTGTCTTAACCTTAATAATTCTATTTACTCATGTGTAAGTCCCACTCAAATCCAACCCCTCTCACTCATGTATTTATCCAACCTAAATCTGAAACTACCTACGGTTTTAGCTTCGACAGGACCTTGGGTAGCTTTAAAAAGAGATTGGACAAATAAATGAGTGGGAGGGGCTTGGTATGATTGGTGTCGTGGGTACACAATAACATAAGAAAGGAGGAACGCTGCAGTAGGCCTGTTGGCCCATACTAGGCAGACCCTTCACAAATACAACCCACTAAGAACATAAGAAAGGACGAACACTGCAACAGGCCTGTTGCCCCATACTAGGCAGGTCCTTCGCAATCCTTCCCACTAACAAAATATTTGTCCAACCCAATTTTCAAGGCTACCCATGAAATAAGTTTTGATGATTCTATTTACTCATTATGCAAGTCCCATTCAAATCCAACCCCTCTCACTCATGCATTTATCCACCCTAAATTTGAAACTACCCAACATTTTAGCTTCAATAACCCTACTAGGCAGACTGTTCCACTCATCAACTACCCTATTTCCAAACCAATACTTTCCTACATCCTTTTGAAATCTAAATTTATCTAATTTGAATCCATTATTGCAGGTTCTCTCTTGGAGAGATATCCTCAAGACCTTATTTATATCCCCTTTGTTAATACCCATCTTCCACTTGTACAGAATAAACGTGCCCAAGCAATAAGCGTTGACAATTCTATTTACTCATCTTGACTGTGTGCTAATGGGGTTACAGGAAGCTGACATCAAAGAAATGCTGAACATTGATAATGATGCATCTTTTGTGCATTCCTTGAGTGATGGTGAAATTAGATGAATTGTGATAGATAAATAAGCTGTAGAGTTGATATAAGCATCATATTGAAGTATTTTGTCGTGCCTCCTGAGAGCAGAACTTCCGCTGGAACGGATTAATGCTATTTCAATTAATTTAAATGCGGAAAATTGACTCAGCATACGAACAAATCGAGATACGAACAAGGTCATGGAATGGATTAAATTTGTAAGCCGAGGTTCCACTGTACTCTCTGCTGTCATATCTCAATTTTCTTAATTTAAAAATATTAGTTAAAAAACATTAAATAACTCCAATAAGTATGTTTTATGAATAAAACTTAAAATAATACATCTAAACTTACCTTCTCTTTAGGTACATCTGCCATTAGAATTCCTGGGTAGTTAGGAACAAATGCATACTGCTCATACTGCTGGAAATTGGCAGCTGAATGACCCAGGGAACAGGTAGCAATGATCACCGTCACCACGTCAATCACTTCCTCAACACAGGTAAAACCTGAGAAATAGTGTAAATTGTATGAGTTAACTGAAAACATGGTATGAGTTAAATGAAACATGGTATGATTTAAAGAGTCGGGATATGATTGCTGAGTGTAACATTCAAGGGTTTAAGTTGTTCCATGTGGATAGATATAATGGGAAGGGTGAGGAGTTGCATTATATGTAGTACAAGAAAATATAAATTGTTGCATAAAAACAGGTATAAAAATAGATGGACTAGTAACAGAATTTGTTTGGGTAGAGTTTGTAGAATGTCCAGAAAAACTAATTCTAGGTGTAATATACCGACCTCCAGGCTTGGATCACGATAGAGAGAGACTTCTTTGGGACAAAATTGTTAGGGCTTCTAGACACAATAATGTAGTGATAGTAGGGGATTTTAATTTTAGTCAAATTGACCAGACTTCTTTGACCAGTAATCTGGAGTCCAGTGACTGTTTTCTGAAGCAGTGTGTAACAGAGCCTACCGGGGGTAATAATTTGCTCGACCTAGTCTTGTCAAATAAGGAAACACTCGTAAATAATCTGGAAATCACTGAAGAGATGGGCGCAAGTGATCACAAATCCATCACTTTTAGCATTAACTGGGAATACAAGAATAACAATAATATGGTAAAAGTCCCTGATTTTCATTCTGCCGATTTTAATGGACTTAGGGAACACCTGTCTAATCTCGATTGGAGTAATCTAGCTAATGATTTTATTGACGATGATCATTCTTACGATTACAAAGGGATCTGTGTTTATGATTTTTTCTTAATAATGTATAACGTGTGATGAATGGTTTGAAAAACCGACAAGTTGAAGATTGAGACACTTATGCAGCATATGGGAATCTTTATTCAGGAAACATTTCGCCACACAGTGGCTTCATTAGTCCAATACAAAGAGGAAGGCGTAAGGAGAGGAGGAGTATGAGGTAATCAGTCCCTCAGCCTGGAGTCGACTCCAGGCTGAGGGACTGATTACCTCATACTCCTCCTCTCCTTACGCCTTCCTCTCTGTATTGGGCTGATGAAGCCACTGTGTGGCGAAACGTTTCCTGAATAAAGATTCCCATATGCTGCATAAGTGTCTCAATCTTCAACATGTATAACATGCACAGAGTATATACATTCCCCAGATACAAATTAGGTCTAATAATAATGATCCCAAATGGGTTAACAAGAGGCTAAACCATCTATTAGGGGAGAAAAGGAGAATTTATAGGCACATCAAAAGAGGAGAGGTTAACCTTACTGGCCAATATGTTCAGCTTAAAAGAGATGTAAAAAATGGGATTAGAACAGCTAAACATGTCTATGAAATTAGAGATGCTAATGAATCAAAGACTAATCCAAAGAGGTTCTTTCAAGTGTATAGGACGAAGGTGAAGGAAAAAGTAGGACCTCTGAAAATTGGGAATGGACAGCTGACGGATAACGAACTGAAAATGTGTTCCCTATTTAATGACTATTTTTTTGTCAGTTTTTACACAGGAAGACATAAATGAGATTCCAGAAATTAACAATTATTCAGTTCCTGATGAATTCAAATTAACTAGTATTACTGTCATGAGGGACATGGTTATCAAACAGATAGACAAACTAAAGAAAAATAAGTTGTTTCCCAGGGTACTTAACCCTTTCAGGGTTTCCGACATACTAGTATGGCTTATGTGCCAGAGTTATTGATGTACTAGTACGCATAAATTCTAGCACCTTCAAATCAAGCGAGAAAAGGCTGGTAGGCCTAGATGTGAGAGAATGGGTGTGCGTGGTCGGTGTGCGCGGTAGAAAAAAATCTGGGACCCAGTGGTGCATTGTGGGAACGCCATTTTAGTACACCTTGTTCACCATGCCTCATGGTAAGAAACTCCTCACTCCTCAGTGAACTGGGACACTTTTGTTCCCCAGTGACAGTTCTAATACAGATGAAAGTGCCAGTGAAGATGAGTCTCAAGGTTTTCATGAGGTTGTGACCGAAACTAATGACCATAATACCGGTAATAGTGAGGAAAACCCAGACGACCCTCTGCCTTCCACCTCTGATGCTGAGCCATCTCGTTCACGTTCAGTTGTACCAGAACGAAAGAGGAAACTCCTATTTTCCCATATCCCAGACTCAGATGTGAGCTTTAGTGATGACAGTGATAGTGAATATAAACTACAAGCTCTTGAAAACAGTTCCAGTAGCGATAGTGAAGTGGAATATTCTCCAGTGAAGCGTCAGCATATAAGACAGTATATGCACTCTGGTAGTGTGCCATATGCTGTTCCAAGGGGAAGGAGTACATCTCAGAGTACATCCCATGGCTGTACAACAGGAACAGATAGTGAAAATGAAGATGATAGTGTTGCAACTGGAATGGAAAATGTGCATGGTGTTGGTAGTGGCGGTGCCAGCCTTGAGGCACCAGCAGTGGGCCATGCTGCCACCCATGCTGCTGTCTCAGCTGATCTACAACAAAGGCCACCATCCCCCACCCACCCACCACACCAGCCTCCACAACCACAACCTCCACAACCACAAACTTCACAGCCACAACCACCTGTCAATATCCAGTACCCACCAGCAGACCGCACCTGGGATTCGCAGGAAGCTGACAATTTTGTTCCCAATCCCTATCAGTTTGATGAAAGTCAAAGTGGAATACGGCCATCTTGTACACTTGGGAACAATGCCACTAAACTGGAATGTTTCAAGTTATTCTTTGACGAACCCCTGATGGAACTTATTGTCAGGGAAAGCAACACATTCTTTGATTACACCATGGCAAACACAATACGTTCACCAAAATCACGCCTACACCAGTGGAAGGAGACAACTGTGGCTGAGATGTATCTTTTCTTTACCACAATAATGCTTATGCCACATGTGTAGAAGCACAGTGTCAAATCATACTGGTCAACAGACTGCCTGATTGCATCCCCAGGATTCAGTGATATAATGTGAGTGAATCGATTTGTGCTACTGTTACGTATGCTTCACTTCTCAGACAAAACCAGGCCTGAGAGAAACAGCAGGTTATATAAGATTAGGAATGTGTTTGTGTATCTGAAAGAGAAATTCAATATGTATTTTTATCCCTCAGAAAGCTTGTTATTGATGAGTCTTTGATTCTGTTCAAAGGAACTCTCATTCAATCAGTATATACCAAGCAAGAGGAAACGCTTTGGTATAAAGTTATTTGTGCTTTGTGACTGCTACAGTGGTCTTGTATTGGATATTATTGTGTACACTGGAAGTTATACATTGCAAAATACCAGGAAGTTATTGGGCATCTCTGGTGATGTGGTTAGAAAAATGATGGAACTACATTTTGGTAAGGGGCATATATTATATACTGATAACTGGTACACAAGCCCCTCACTCAGTGATTTTTTTGCGAGTGAACATGACAGATGTGTGTGGCACAGTGTGTGCAAATCGTAAGCATATGTCCAGGTTTGACACTGGCACTCGTAGAGGTGAGGTGCAGGCATTTGCTGCCAATGACATTATGGCATTTCGGTGGCATGACAAACGAGATGTCACACTGTTGTCATCAGTTCATGCTAATGAAATGACAAACACTGGCAGGCAGAATAGAGACCAATGAACTCATTCTAAAACCTGCAGCTGTGAGTGATTACACCTTCAATATGCACTCAGTGGACAAATGTGACATGCAGATTGGGTTTGCTGATTGTGTTCGCAAGAGTTATAAGTGGTACATAAAACTCTTTTTCCATCTTCTGGCCATTTCAATGCTCAATGCTTATAATATGTATGAGGGCCAGAAACAAACCACCATATAGCAAATTTTGTTTGTCTGTCATCAGACAAATAGTATTCAAGTACCAAGGAACAACACCTGCAATAGACCGCTCACTAAATTATCAACAACTACTTTCTCGTCTGAAGCATGGTGATCACTTCCTAATACAACTTCCTGGTACTGCTTTCAAGAAAAAGGCTCAGAAGAGGTGTTATGTCTGTGCACATACAAAAAAATGCCCACAACAACGCAGAGACACTCGTTTTATGTGTGAGGAGTGTAAAACACCACTGTGTATGACACCATGTTTCAAAGAGTTCCACAGGCTGCAGAACTTCTAGAAACATGTCCTGTGACTGCATATGTGTACATAAAATATAGAAAAATAGTAATAAACAACATTTTATATCGTTTGTGTAAACAAGTTTTGTAAACAATATAGTGACAACAGTGTTTGTGCAGTTATTGTGTAGGAAATAAAGAGAAAAAACTTACAAAATAGTACTATGCTCATATTGGTCTCACAGGCCACAAAAAGTTACTTGAAGAAAAAAATAAAAAATAATAGAAAAAAGTAGAAAAAAGTAAATAAATAATACCAGGTGACCGGCAGTCAGCGATGATGCCACAACCAGCTCATTTTCTGTCACCTTCATGCCTCCATATCTCGGTAAGTATTGATGGCAAAAAAATTTTTTTTCTAGCCTATAATGTTTAGAAAAAACTATCTTTTCATAAGAAATTTTTTTTTTTTTTTTTTTAATTTCTCAACCCTGAGAACAAGTCTGGGAGAGGGCCTGTCGACCCTGAAATGGTTAAAGAACGCAAGATGGAACTTAGTCATCCATTAATGAGTGTGTTTAATGTGTCCATCCTTACTGGTGTTGTGTCTGAGATGTGGAAGATGGCTAATGTGGTACCTATATTCAAATCAGGGGATAAGTCCATTCCTTCAAACTACCATCCAATAAGCCTGATATTGGAATCAATTAGAATCAATTATAGCTGACATTATTAGAAGTCACCTTGAAGAGCATAATTTATAAACAATTTGATTAATGAATCTCAGCATGGGTTCACGAGAGGTCGTTCCTGCCTGACAAATTTACTGACATTCTTCAATAGAACATTTGAGGCAGTAGACAGTGATAAAGAATATGACATTGTTTATTTGGATTTTAGTAAAGCCTTCGATAGAGTACCTCACAAGAGACTCTTAAGAAAAGTGGCAGCTCATGGTATAGGAGGTAAAGTTC